ATTAAATTCAATTGCGATAAAAACAACGCGCGTGTTATTGTCAGAAATGAGACTGGACCGAGCACAAACAGAGGATGACAACTTCCTGTGTGTCCCCACATAAACAAAAGTCCAGCACATGCGCAGATGCGACTGTAACCTACCTTTAAGGACTCCAGTATTTTTAGCAATTTTTTATTTAAGATGTTTAATTTGCTGTGTCCATTATTATATCTATATAAATGCCCAGATATTTTATATGAAACTTCTCCTCAATATGACTGATATTTATATAACGTGTTTTTTTTTACTTAAAGTTTTAATAACATATAGTTAGTCTTTTTATGATTAATTGAAAGTTTGTTAGTTATACATTACTGTAGTATGTGATTCAATTCTTCATTCATTACTCGCTCAATTTCATCAATAAATTGATTAAAATAAAAGACATTTGCATCATCAGCAAACACCCTAAAGAAACTTTTTTTTTAACAATTTGGCATGGCATTTATATAGAGTGTAAACAGCAACGGACCCAAAGTTGACCTTTGAAGAATTCCACATGTTATTGTTAATAGATCGGACTCGACGTCACCTATTTTGACATATTAATATTGGTTAGCGAGATAATAACTAAACCAAGCTAAGTGTGCATATGCCATATTTGTATAGTTTACATAATACGATTTGGTGATTTATGGAGGTGTATATTCCCTTGTTAATGTGGGAGTAGGAGTTTATTCCCTCCAGTTTATCATTTCCAATTTAAATTGTTTTTCCTAAAGGTCCAGTAGGAATCATCTTTTATTGATCTAGTGCTCTATCAGTTCTGAACTGTTCTTTCTAGAGGTCCAGTGAGGATCATCTTTTAGTGATCCAGAGTTACTACAGAAAAAAATCGAAACTAAACTAATTTCATTAAAACTAGACAGCTGTAACAGTTCTAATTTATTCTCTCTATAGAGATCCAGAAAGGTCCATTAACGAAAATCTTAACCGGAACGTTTCGATCTAGAGTATTGGTACACAAGCAAAAATCTTACAACTTGTCAACAAGATGTGTTCGCAACAGGCTTGTAGCAAGCTTGTCAACAAGTTGTAACAATGGTGTTATTTTATCAAGTTGCTACAACGTTGTCACTAACAACTTGTTGACAAATTGTTGAATTGCAGAATGATAACAAGTTGTTGGAACGACTTGTAACAACTCTGTTGAACTCAAAAACCTTGTGGAAAGTTGTTAACATACCGTTAGGAACAAGCAGTGCGAACACATCCTGTTAACAAGTTGTTGGAACAGCATCGCTACAAGTCTGCTGCAGGTTTGTTACAACTTGTGCGTTTTTGCTTTTGTAGGCGGGAGCGTAGTGAATTTTAGACCCGGAAATAACCAACACAATATGATTCCCAATAAAGTTATGTTCTTCATCAGCGCAGAGACTAATTGCTTAACCAATTGCTCAAATTTAAAATGTAGCTTAACGTTGAAAAGCTGAATAACCACGCTTTAAAATGACTGTAAACATAAACTCTTTACTATATTATTCTTTTCGAAATTTACGTTTGAATCGAGGAACAAGTTGCTATCACCTTGTTGCAAGGTTGATGACGGTACCAGATTTGCTACAAGTTGTTTCAACAAGACTAATCACAGGCTGTTCGTAACATGCTGCCAAGAGCTTGTTGTTATCAACTTGTTAACAACTTTTTACTTGCAGACGATATCGGACTTGTTGGAACAACTTGCTGCGAGTCTGTTGGCCTCATCAACCTTGTTACAAGATGATAACAACTTGTTTCAGACTTGTCAACAACTGGAAACAAGCAGTGCGAACACATCTTCTTGACAAACTGTGAAATTTTTACGCGTGTATGACAAGGGAGGCAGCAACAATTTACAAACGGCTGCATAATTATTACTTCATTTATCATTTTATAGTTCCTTTGGAGTTCCAGAAAATGGGAAAACAATTACGACGGCTAAGTCTGTTGGTAGGCCTGGTGTTGTTTTTATTTGATTACAGCTCAGACATTTACGTGGCTGTTTAACATTGGAAAAACAACGATTTTTGGTGGTTTGGAATGACTGTTAGTTTTATCATTTTTCCTTCAATCATGGTGAACATAACAGCGATCGTTCAAGTGATGGACTTTTTTGCAAGTATAATGGCTGTTCTTCAATTGTCTATTGTTGTTCGTTACATCGAAGTACTTATATATCCGGTTTCCTGCCGTATCTACTTGCTTGCAAAGCTACGCTATTTAGAGACAATTACGGAAAGCGCTCTACAATGGTGTCTACAGGTTTACATCATGCTACGTCAGTGGTATTTCCCATCATACACCGTGGTCTCCAGTGTATTGTCGCTTCTGTCTTTAGCCTGGAGTATCACGACACTCGAAAAAGAAAGAGCAACTGACGAAGCACGCGATTTCAAGCCACTTTATACAGCCTTGTTCCTGATATGGCAACTGTTTACACTCATATCAAGATTATTCGCTATCGTTTTTTTCGCTTACGTGTTTCGATATCACGTGATTACTTTTCTGGCGGCCCATTGGCTGCTTCTAGTTGTGGCGATGCTAATAATACAAATATCTGGCGAAACTGATAGTCTAGGGAAATCTTTGTTTTTATAATGTTTGGCTGCCTATCCTTCCCTGTTTCACTCTTCGGAAACCGTCTTCCCAACCAGACATCGAAAAGTTGAGATGGTTGTGGGGTATATTTTCATCTTTTTAGAAAACATCCTAATGGTAATAGTGTCTCTGACCATTGAAATGCCAGACGTACCACACATGGATGTATTGAAACCAGTTTTTATGGCATGCATTGAAGGAGCAACATTTCTATCATCAATCTTCTTCTTTATTTATTACTAATGCGTTAATCCATAATATTAATAGAACACTAATTATTGCAATGTATTTCACTCAAGTATTGACTATCTCATTATAACAATGTTAGTGGAAGTCTCTAGTCTAGTCTAGCCTCTATATTGTAGTCTTGTTTTAAGCCATTTAAAACACTTGTAGTCGTGTTTTATCATATTTAAAATTCTCGTGATGCGCACTCAAATTTTAAATATGGCAAAACACTCCTACGCGTGTTTTAAATAGTACATATATTTCTGTTCTTACAGTATATTGTATATTGTATACTTGTATATAGTACGATATTTCCATGAGTATTGAACTGCGCAGTGTGTTATGGTGCGTGTACAGCCGAACAGCCGTACTAGCCTGATAAAGTCGCACTTTTGTACTCTACACTGCAATTGGGAAAACTTTGATTTTCCTTTTTATAGATAACGGCAAAAGCATTATTCAATCTGGTATGTATATAGAATGGCCAAAAACGAGTCTAGTTAAACCGTGATCAAACGGTGATGAGAGTTGGTAGTCACGCATTGTTACAGGGGACATTTCAAGCTCTAGATTAACAAAATAAAGATTTGATGAGTGTTCCAACTATGTTTTAACTTAAATAGAATACATGATAGTGTTGGGAAAACATTAAGAACAGCTGACCAAGGTCACGTGACTGTCAACTCTGATACACTTTCATTCTCATTTCATCTGCGCTTTAAAATATTTTCCGTAATCTAAGTCTAAGAATGTAAGTAACGGAATATTTTATATCTCAAATAGTTAATTTGTCGGAGAAATATGCAGGGCCGTGCTGAGCGGTATCTGGTGGGGGGTGAATTTAAAAATCCCCCCCTTCCATTCCGGGGCCCCTTTCGACCTCAATTTTCCAGAAAATATCTAATATCTAATATTTAACACGTTCCTCCTGGACCCCTGCTCCGCAAGTTGGGCCCCTTTTTTACTATTACTCATAGTACTACACCCCCACACCCCTTCCCCAGTAATTCCGGCCCTGGAAATATAAATATTCGGACTCATAAGCATGCATAAGATTTCTTATAGTTACGAAACGAGTAAATTCTTCAACTTCGTACCCAGGCTCTTCCTCCTTGTGAAGGAACCCAGCCTAGTCCCTAGGCCTCTTAGTACGCCTATTTCGCGTTGAAGGAACCTGGGAACGAGGTTGTGTATTGCGGTGCCCAAACTTGAGCATCGCATTATATTCTGCCTGTGAGTTTGTTAGTTTGTCCGTTTGTTAGTTCGCATCAATACGTTTCCTTGACGTAGGCGGAAACGCCGAAAGTTTTATCAGTAGGCGGGCACCGCATGTTAGTACTGTGTCTGGTTCCTTTGGTACTCATCACAAATATCTGATCCGGCATCGAATATCACAATAGTTCAAATGTCACATAGTTGTACTTCCTGTGTTTAATTAGTACTGCGTCTTTCTAAGAAAAAGCTGCGTTATTAGTACTAGTACTGCGTCTTTCTCAGAAAAAGCTGCGTTATTTCTAAGTATTAAAATCGAAACTGCAGCTTGTGAACTTGTGGCTAAACCATTAGAGTGCTTTGCTTCGTTGTAACTGTATTGATAGTGTGGCTTTTGTATAAAAGTTGTGAGTATTTGAATTATTTGTGTTTGTACTTTTGCACGCATGGGAGTAGTGTACCTCTCAGCGTGATTATGATGCGTTCCAAAATCTCTCGACATTGTTTACCAACACCATCTGACAATTTTCAAATAGTGTTTTATACTATTTCTTTCACAAATATCTTAATTAAAGCAGATATGTTCATTTTGGGTAAATCTTATATGGCTTGATTCAAGCGATTTGAAAAATTAGCAGTTAAACCAAATATTTTCATGTCCGACCAACAATGTTGTATTCGTTTGACTGACCTTTACTCGCAACTTAAACGTTTTGTGATCGATCGGTTTTGTGTTCCGTTTAAGCAAAAACGGTTATTTCGTATAAACTTTTTATAGAATTTCTCGACAGCCTTTGAATCTATAAACTTTATGTAAAGTCAGCGCATTTGTCGCCAAAACAGTTAGTAACATAGGATCGTTTGTCGAAACGCCGTCGAGAAATAGATATATTTTTGTTCAAACTAAGAAATAAGGGGCTATGGCGATAGGTGTGGACGCGGATTATTTAAATGCGCAACAAGAAGTCCGTATTCAAAAAATTAAAATGTCGATAAAGGCAAGGCAGTTTATGTTTCAGGACCCTTTCAAAAACTCCATTCACACCAGACGAGGTCATGTTAACGTTTGTATATCACTAATTCACAAGTTATCTTAATAACGTCGTTTATCCCCTAACCACTTGACACTCATGAAGTTATTGACTCTTATGGTAATAAGGCTTATCGTCACCAAAGAATCAGTTTTCAGGAGAATTCATTCGCGTTTCACC